TTTTATGAAGTGTTTTTTTTTTTTTTTTTTTTTTTTTTTTTTACACAATTGGATAGCTATGGGATCAGAGAAAACGCATGAATTGACCAGGTACACATGAACTGAGTCTCCACATGCATCACAGTCATTTTGATGTCTGTGGAATGTGAACAGGGACTCTTGTCTGCATTGATAGCCTACAAGTGGAGAGGAGAGAGAGTGATAGAGCCAATTCAATGGATGGGGATTATTAGGAGGCTATGATTGACAAGGGCCAGTGGAGGGAATTTGGCCAGGACACCGGGGTTACATCCCTAATCTTTATGAGAAGTGCTATGGGATTTTTAGTGACCACAAAGAGTCAGGACCTCAGTTTAACGTCTCATCCGAAGGACGGTGGACGGTGCTTTTCGTCAGTATAGTGTCCCCGTCACTATACTGGGGCGTTAGGACTCACACAGACCACAGAGTGAGCACCCCCTGCTGGCCTCACTAACACCTCTTCCAACAGCAACCTAGTTTTCCCAGGAGTTCTCCCATCCAGATACTTACTAGGGATGCGCCGATCCGATATTCATATCTGGTATTGGCTCCGATACTGCCATTTTTTGTTGGATCGGGTAATGGTCAGAGAGGGCCGATCCAAATCCGAGATTGTGTGTATTATTCTGTGTTACTTCTGAAGCCATATAATAGCTTAAAGGGTTACTCTACCCCAAAAATGAAAATTTTGTCATGAATTACTTACCCCCATGTTGTTCCAAACCCGTAAAAGCTTCGTTCGTCTTCGGAACACAATTTACGATATTTTGGATGAAAACCGGGAGGCTTGTGACTGTCCCATTGACTGCCAAGTAAATTACACTGTCAAGGTCCAGAAAAGTATGAAAGACATGATCAGAATAGTCCATCTACCATCAGTGGTTCAACCGTAACGTTGTGAAGCGACGAGAATACTTTTTGTACGCGAAGAAAACAAAAATAATGACTTTATTCAACAATTTGTCTCCTCTGTGTCTCTCCACATCACCGTAGCGCCATTCCGCTGAATGCAAGCAGCATACGCTCTTCTGTGTCAGCCGCGCTGCACGGATGCGGTAAATACACACCGTAAACCGTATCCCTTTAATGTGAGCTACATATGAATATTTAAGTCCTTACACTAAAGTTCACACAAACTCTTTTCTCCACTGTGGCTGTCAGTCATTCGTTCAGCCTTCAAACCCTGGTTGCATTCAGTTACGACAGTCAGCTCAGTAAAGCTCTCTCCAAGATCATTCTCAGGAATTAATCTTCTTGCCGGAGTTTAATGTTGTTTTGTTACTTGCTACCGGGTGTCTGTGAGAACAAAACACGGGCGTCGAAAATACAATAAATTGTTTTTAACGCGCACAGTAACTGAAATTTAAAACGGTTAAAAGAAAGGCTCAATAACTGTTGCACAGATATAATACACTACGCATCAATTTCTCTTCCCTTTGTGCTTTGCACTTTTTAATGCAAAGCGCTGCGTGCTATGACTCCGTGTTGCTTCAAGCGCATCATTCTGATACCACACCGGATGTGCATATTTTAAGCGCTTCGTGCCGCACTGTATTTGTTTTGTCCTATCAAATCTATCATATGTTGTTGCCTTATTAAAAAATATGCTATA